CCTGTATACACTTCCTGCCTCTTTGGGAGGCTCATTGTGTGAGACTGTTCATCTTTGAACAGTGAGAATAAAAAGATCAACTCCTTGCAGAGTCAGGTTTCACGTATTATCCACGAGGCCCTGACTGTAGCCCTAGCCCAGGCCAGGTAGTTCCTTAAGGGCATCCCTGACCTACAGCTGCCCACTCCAGTTGCAATCTGGAGGTGGGCGAAGCTGAATAAGAAGTGTGCCAGGCAGCCCAGAAGCTGCCACACTGAGGTGAATCTTCCTTAAGGGTGGAATCAGACCTATAACTGGCCTGGGCTTTTGGATTGCTAGTCTTATGAAGTCAGAGCTGGAATGAACCTTAGATCCTAATCCAGACCAAAATGCAGAAAGGGAGAGTTATTAGCTCTTTTCTCACCCTTGCTCCTATTTCCACAAGCATTCCATCCATTACAAAGGCGACAACCCTATTTCCCAATGCTTTTGAATTTGCCTCCTGATTTCCATCCATCATGCCCTGTTCTTATTTGGAGGTTATGAATTCTCTCCCTGCTATTGCAATAGATAGCTTACTGAATTCCTGGTCTCCAGAGTCATCCTGTTTTTGATTCATGCTGCCTCTGAAGAGAACTTTCCAGAACATGCTTATAAAACTACAGCAGCATTCAGGACAAAATCTGAATTTCTAAACAAGGCATTCAAGACCTCTATAAATCTATCTTCCTTGACCCCCCAGGGGTGAGTTTCCTGGTTGCCTCTAACCCCACAACCCTGGTGTACCCTGCTTCGGAGCCCTGTGCAAATGCCTCATGTTATAATTTTTGGCTGAGGGTCTGACTCCTTGACACAGTCCTTCTCTGTGCCAGAGATTGAGCAGGATTAAGTAACTGTTGATCCAAGAAGTAAGAACAGGAGCATAAGTATCCTGGCTCCAGTTAAGGACTCTTTCTACCATATTGTACTTCTGGGCCCTGACACTAGGGTGGACAATGATTCTCAATGAAGAAATCTTGGTCAGTCTCCAGGAAGGGGGCCCAGTCCCTTAACTTCCACCCCTTCCACCTTCCCCTTACCTAGAAGGGAACCCCCACAGAAGGGCTGCCCATTCAGGTGTGACAGCATGGCAATCCAGGGAGTGATGCCCTTTTGGGCTGGGCGTCCATTGAAGATCCTGGCCATCAACTTCCGGGAGAACTTGGGGAGCCCACACACTGCAGCCAAAGGAGGGACAGACAGATCACACACTAGGCTCCATCGTGCCCATTGCCAAAGCTACCAACTCACAACCCTCTTTGGAACATCTGTTCTTTTGATCTCCCAGCATCCATTGCCCATTCAAATAATAGCATCCTAATTTTGCTTTGGGGTTTGCACTTTATTCATCCTTAGTCTATGCAGCTGGAATTGGATTGACCTCACCTCTGATTTCGGGGATAGGAATGTGACTAATCGACTTGATGTAGCTCCTGGTTAGAACAAAAGTTCAGAGATGGGAATGTGACCTTAGCCAGGCCAATGAAAGCCTGGCTTGGGAATTTTGCTAAACCTATTAGAAAATCATTCTCTGCTGGGGTTGCTAAGCTATTGGCGCTAAGCCCAGTTACACCAATAATCATTTCATGAAGAGAATGCAGAGAAAGATGCCACTAACCCAGAGAAAAGTGGAGTTGAAAGATGAGAGGTGAAGCGGGCATGAGAGAGATTGCACCGTGGTATCTGAGCCCTTTGATCTGACCATACCTGAAGCCTTTTGGTATGGCCTTTTCAGTTGCGTGTGCCTATAAATTCTCTCTCTTTTTTTCCTTAAGCTGTTTATACTGATTTCTGTCACTTACAAATGAAAGAGTCCTGACTAATAAAGAATCTTTATGCTCCTTCCACAAGAATCTCATCTTCTAAGAGAAACTCTTCTCAGGGCGTTGAGGGGTTGAAGTTCCCCACAACAAGTGTCTGCCTGCTTTGTCCCCTGTTTTCATTGTCTTGGGGACACACACATACACACACACACACACACACACACACACACACACACACACATTGCTGCTGAATAGTCCTTGGAGACCATGTAGTCTATCACTCTCATCATATACCTAAAGAAACTGAAGTCTAGAGAAAGGAATTGACTTGCCGAAAACTATTCTATAAGTAGTGGCAAGACTATAATTCTGACTTTCTTGACTCCCAACTCTCTGGATCCAGGATGTCATCTGCTACCTTTGTAGTTGTCACCAGGCTGGAGAAAATCATAGATCAATGCATTACAGTTTTAACGTATCTTCAGCTCTCCTGCCATTTTTCTACTTACCCTAGGCCAGCTTCCCCAAGCTGAGGCCCTGTTCCCGTTCCCAGCAGAGGCTCAGAGCCCATTGGGTGGGAACTCCCCCAGCCATCCTTTCCCCTATCTCCTCCTCCTGTAAACTTTCATCTCTTCAGAACTAGTTCTGCACTCTGGATCTCCTCACTTCTAAACCCATAGGGACCTGGCCTTGGGGATTCTTGCTTCTCTCCTTTATTTTCTGTCTCCTTCTCCTATACCTCTAAAACATGGTCAAGACCTATCAGCCTAAAATAAACTTCCATTTCCTTGTTTCCTATTCTTTCCACAGTCTCTCCTTCTCCTCTCTTCCCTAGTAAATCTTCTGCAAAAAGTAGCTCACATTCAGTCCCCACATTCTTCCCTCTCCTTTGGAGGTGGATTCAGAAGAAGGAAGTGCCATACACTGCACGAACTTGGAAATAAGTAGCCATTACTAGACCTACAAGCATAGATGGAGATAAAATGCCTCTGGGACCGTAAATGGAACTTCAGCAGTGATATTTATGTACATTAGGAGGATACTACTTTTGAAATCTCTGATTGTTTTTTCAACCTTAGGAGTTCTCCTTGCCCTGCTGCACTTCAACCCTTGAAGCTGGAGCATCCACTGTTCTAACTGAAGTCTGGATATGGCTTTGACTTTTGAAAAAGCAAAGCAAAAGCCAAAGTTTGGATATATAGACTTTCATTTGAAGAGTCAGGCTTCATGGTAAGAATAACAGATTTGTAGATTTCAAGGAACCAAAACATGGAGAATTGAGCATACAATTTTTACTGTAAGTCACAGGGAAGGGAGGATACAAGGGCAGTTTCCTGCCTCTCAGGAAAGAGCTAAAAGATGCTCTCTGGGAGACTGAGAGTGCTGGAGAGAGAGGGACAAGGGAGAGAGAGGAGACAGAGGAATGGAGAAATGTTAGAGATTTTAAACACTAGCCTGGAGTCTGCTGCCTGTATACTCCCTCAGAGATGACAATGGAAACTTGGTCCCTGTTCTGGGTAACTTTTATATTGGAGTTATTAGACTGAACTCTTAGCAGCAGTGGGGGACACTGTTGGTTATTTCCTCCCTCTTAACAATTTTCCCTCCTTGACTCCTGAAGCACTTTTCTTCTTTTGTTTCTTTTGCTTTTTTCCCCCTTTCTTTTTGGTCTATTTCTTTCTTGACCACTCTTTTCTTCATGCCTTTCATGCTGGTGTTTCCCTCATTCAGCCTTAGACTTTGGCTTCCTTTTCTTTTCTGCAAATTTCTACTAGATGATACCCTCTACCTCCACACATTCATCTCATCCATATGCTGATGAATTTCAGTTTTAAATCTGTCCTGTCCTCTGAAACTCACTATTCTTCACTACCTGCTTATATTTCTAGCTGGATTGCTCATAAACTCTTCAAACATAAAGAAACCAAGCCCAGGTCTCCACCATTCACCAACCTTCTCCCCTTTGTTATTCCAGATGTCTGTTAATGTCTGTGCCAACCACATCCTTGTTGCCTTCCTTTTCTTAAGCCCCACAGTCAATCAGTCACTAAGCTGGGAGTAAGTCACCAGAAGAAGCAGAGGGTATTGTGTCTCCCACACTCCATGTCACAATGTGCTCCCCATGTAACCTCATGATACCTCAGTGTCTCAATATGTCGCAACATAACGTCCAAATGTCTAGAGGAAGATGGAAATGGTTACAAAACTTGAGGCATGACAGTCCTTGAAACCAGCAATATATAAAGCATAATTTAGGCTTTTCAAAATTTTTAATAGTATAAAAAACATGATATTTTTATTGTGATATAAACCAAAAGCATGAGTGCGTCTCATGGTGAGCCCTCACTCTCAGGTTAGCTTATGCTGCCCCCTGCACACCTTTTCAAGAGGTGCCTGTAGGCCAAGCCTTGCTGAATATACCACTTAATTGGATTTAAACCGCCATGCCCCATGTCTGCACTGTCACAGCCTCAGGTCTGGTGGACGGTTGCAGTAGCTTCACAACTACTCTCCCTAGCTTACCCCCTTCCCCTGCACTTTTGTATTATGCTGCCTGCCCTTAGACCTGCTGAATTCAAAATTTCCAGTCAGTGAGGCCCAGCAATCTGCATTTTTAGTAAGCATCCCAGGTGATTCTAATGTACTCCAAACCTAGAGAGTAACTGGTTCAAGGACAGAGTCCAAATGCAGCATGGATTTTAAGACTCTTCCCACTCTTGCAATGCCCACTGTTTCCACTCCAATCATGACTCACTTTCATGCTTTGATTCCTTTATCCCTTTTGCTTCTTCCCTCCAATCTCCCAGTGCATCCTTTGAAGGCTCTGCAAAGCTATTCCATTCCCCTCCAGTTGTGTGAAATCATTCTCTCCTTTAAGTTCCTGTAGTACTTAAATCTCTATTCCTCATTAGCTCCTTTTGCTTCTGTAAGTCCTATATGCACACAACCTTGTCTCGCATGCTAGTTGGAGCCCTTTGAAGTCAAGGACCTAAATGGCAGGCACTTAAATGAAGGAACACACAGCTCTGAGAAGGAGACATATCAATAACCAAGTCCTTTTGTCCTTACTTCTTCTTGGATGATGTCCAGGTACCAAAAACTGTACTTCTTCTGTAACAAAGGAGATTTTTGCTTGATGAAGGGGCCAATTTCTTTTTAAAAAGTCAAAACAAACAAATACACGTCAGCAACAATAACCAAACTCCCAAACCAAGGCTGTTGGTTATCTGCAGAGGGTTTATTTCCACTTTAGACCCCTGACAAGAGAAACAGTGCAGACCCCTTACAAAGCAGTGAAGCAAGTGATATAAAAAAATACAAAATATAGCCTCTTCTACATATGCCATTTATAAACACAGGAGTGTGCTTTGATGAACCAATTGAAAAAGTGGACACTTTCCAATTGTTCTCTTGGAATCCCTCTCGGGGCTTCTCTGGTGTCTTTGTCTGATGAAGATGCCCAGGAGAGCGGGCCCCAGGGAGAAAGGAGGACAACCAGCCCTGAGAGGCCAGAAAGGCTAGGGGCTCTCAGGGAAGCTCTGAGTGCTACAATTAGAAGGACCTTGAGGGGCATTTTATGCCTTCTTTTTACCATTGGGGAAACTGGGGCTCAGGCAAGGAAAACTATCTGTCAAAGGTTATACAGCTAGTTGGGGGAAGAGCTGGGTCTAGAACCCAGGATTCTTGGCATTCCATCTCTTTTCCTGCCTGTCACAAGTGAGACTGCTTCCCTTGATCTCTGGCCCCTAAAAGCTGAAGGAATGGATCCCTCTGAATATCCTACTAGGTGGGTTCTTAGCCCGGCTCAGGCCCCAGGGATGCTGGGCAGCATGGCAGGATTTGGACAACTCCTACTGTCCTGAGCCCACCCTTTCTTCCGTTTTCCTGCTCCAAAGCACAGAGGACACAGAGCGGCTCTTTTCTTTTTCCAAGTAACTGGCCAAGTCTCCACATGTGGCGCTGGGGCTCAGGTATCATTTAGATGATACATTTTGAGGCTGAAAGTTTGCTTTGTGCTTGTCTGGAAGCAGCAAGTGTGGACACCCCATGGTGTCAGCTGGTATTCTAGGGTGGCATATGGACCCAAATGTGTTCTGAGTCTACAGTAGGAATTTAAGACGTGGGGAAGCTCCTGCTGCTATTCTTCTTCTACTCATCACCACAAACCCTCACAACTTTCTCTTTGTCCTTTGAAATTCCTTTAAGGAGGAACACAGGGATAAGTCTTTGACTGCAAGAAGCTTTTGAGAGCAAACCTCCAGGAATGAAAGTGCTCCAAGGCACCACACTAGGAGGGAGGGGCCTCCAGGCTATGAGCCAGCTCCCAAAACTGCATGGTTTTCTCCTAGGGGGATCTACCTAGACTTGGTCTAGTCCCAAAGGGAGAAACTAGGAAAATATATAGATGCAGAGTTGAGTTCACTGTTAAGAAATCATTTTCTAATGATCAAGTCCAAGCTCAGTTGCACCAGTAGTGGAACCAATCAATAGGTGTGACAAGTAGTCAGGAGTGAAGAAAGGCCACTGGGCCACTCAGCTCGGCCTGGAGAGGAGTGCCGGGATTGGCCCAGAGGCCTTGCTCCAGTTCCCTCATCATATTGCTGGGGAGAGGGAGGCCCAGAGAGGGGAAGGGCCTTGGACAAGCTCAGGGACCCAGGTCTCTTGCCAGAGCCTTTTCCCTATCCCCCACTGCTATCTCTCAGGGTCCCGGGGGCTGTCTCAGGAGGATGGGCACCCCACTAGGTCAGCGTGCTCCATCCCATTTGGTCTGGTAGGTAATGTGGAGTGTGCTGTCGGAAGTGTGTGTTGTAGCCTCACTCAGGCTGGGGCAGGGTAGGCAGACCCTGAGGATGTAAGTGAGCTCACCGCTCTACCTGGAGCTCCCCCAGACTTTGTGGAGAGCCCATCTGCTCCCACACCCAGTCAACATAGTTGGAGACCTTAGTGTAGACCCCATAGACCTGCTTGCTGCCACACTCTTCAGGTCCCCCCCAGGACACCAGGCCTTGAGCCACCCAGCGCTGGCTCGAGTCATCAAGGATGACAAAGGCCCCCCCACTATCTCCAAGGCAGGTGTCCTTGCCGCCCTCGTAGTAGCCGGCACAGAACATGTTCTCCGTGACACTGTAGTTGCCCGAGCGGGACTCGTAGCTGGTTTTGCACTCAGCGTGTGGCACCACAGGCAACTTGACATACTGTAGGACATCTGATAAGGTTCGTGTGCCACTGCTGATGATCTCATCCACCGTCACGTTGGGATTGGAGATGCCCCAGCCGGCCACCAGGCCCAGCATGTGAGGAGCCGGGCCTTCAGGTTCCAGCCTTGGCAGACAGATAGGCATGACGTGGGGCCCCAGGGGCACAGGCTCCTGCAGCTGCACCAGAGCTATGTCATGGTTGTAGCTCTGAATGTTGAAATCTGGGTGGAGCACCACACGGGCAGCTGAGCTGTTGACTGCCCCTGATTTGTCCCTTACGTCGTGCAGTCCTAGGTAGACGGTGACATGCTCCTTGGAGACTGGTATTACCGTGTTGTCTCTACGCTGAGAGCACAACACATGAGCTGCTGTGAGTATCCAGGACTCGGAGAGCAGGGCCCCACTCCCAAACCACTTGTCATTGGGTACCCTTGAGGTGTCCTCCACCACTATCAGGGCTTGCCACGGGAAGAGGCCAGGATCAGCATTCCGGCCCCCGATGATCCGCTTGACAAGGTTTGGCAGGGAGCGGGAGGGCTGACCACACACTGCAAGGAGAAGGAGGAAGCAGGGACAAGAGACAGAGACTGGTCAGGTCAGTCATATGAAAGGAGCCACTAAGAGAAATTCATATCTCCCCCAGCATAGATTATGCCACCATGGAACCCTAACCTGCCTGGATCATGCTGGCCTGGGAGAGAGATTCCCGGGCTCTTTTTGGGTCTAAGTCTCTCTAGTCTGGCCTATCTCCAGTCTGCTCCTTCTGTATCTGGGTCTTCTCTGGATCAGACCATTTCATGAGGGGGTCTTCTCCTTCCTGAATCACTTGTGACTAAGATCCCTTTTGTCCTGCATCATCTATAACTAGGCCTATCCCTAGCAGTGGTCATTTTTCTTTTTTCCCTAGAAAGGCAAGTCTTGTCCCAGAAGTGGTTCATGCTTTGGGCACTTAGGAAAAAACAACCTGTGGCTAACTAGGGAACATCTGAAAACTTTTCTCTCCATGTTCATGAGCATGGAGAGATGGAAGGAACCTAAAAAATCACCTAGCAGGTGACAGCCAACACTGGGCTGGAAATGAAGATACCAGGAGCTCTGACCTTGTTTTTTTCTTCTGTTACCCATACAATTCTGAATCAGTAAATCTTTCAATTATTTTATCTGCCAAATGAGACAGTTGGTGAGGAAAGTCTCCAAGAAACCTTCAAATTCCAAATTCCTTTGATTTTTATGTTATTTTTCCTAGCCACTTCATTTTATAGGTGAGTAAAATTCTCCAGAGGTTACATGACTAGCCCAAGGTGACATGCTATGAATAGCAGGGGCTTAACTAGATTCTAAGAAAGATGGATTGCCCTGTATTCCATACTACCTTGTTACGTATCAAGACCATTGTCATGGGTCCTCAAATTTTTTTTGCTCCATCTAAAATGACTCATGCTATCAATTGGTACCCAAAGATTAAGGCCTAGGGCATCCAGCATTGGGGAAAGGTGGCATAATCTATGAGCAATGATGCATGGACCCTGCCCTGCTCTGGGCCACTCATCATTGCACCCAGGAGCCATGTAGTACCTTAAGGGGAGGGAGAAAGGTCTGAGCAAACTTCGTTCCACTGAGTTGCACCCTGAGTGTGAACATGTACCACCAGCCTCCTGCAGCCAAATGCCTCTGGCCCATGAACAGGTCTTCAGTTCCAGCCCCTTGCTGGCTAAGAACAAGCTCCCATGGGCTCTTCCCAGGCTTTCTTGGGCCTGGGAGGTAAACCTTGTGTGAGCATGGACTTCCTCCTAGTTGCAAATGGCCAAGTTACATTCCTTGACCTGGATGTTTTCAATAACTTTTTAGAGACCATGGAGCATTTGTTTTCTCAGCAACCTAATGCTGTTCATATTCTCTTCTTCCTGATTCCAAATACTTCTTGCACGATCCTGGGATATCCTGTAATTCATTCCAGGTCAGATGTGAATTGGCCTTTGTAATTCTCTGTGGCCTGGCCTTTCAAAGCTGAGGGCCAGCATCCCAATTACAAGCAGTAACCAGGTCTGTGACTGGCTGTACACAACAACTCGTTTCATGATGCAAGGCCCTTATCTGGTGAGAGACACGTCTCTGTGGCTCAATCCTTGGTCACAACAAAGCCAGGGCTCAATGGTGCCTTTCTTCAACCAAGGTGCCAGTGACTATACCAGGTCACAGAAGATCAGAGCTGGAGAAATTTTGGAGAACAGCTAATTTACAGATGGAAAAATGAAACTTCAGAGAAGGCAAGTGACTTACTCAAAAGTTGCTAGTGGCAGACCCAGAAGTGGAACCTGTTTCTCTTTACTCTAGCTGTATATCGCCATTAAAATCAGTTTATCTCCTTGATGTGTTCTTGTTCTTTCAAGAGGTTGAATGATGCAGCCAGCCTTTGGAAGAGCGTACTGAAATGGGATTATTCTTACTGGCCACTACCACACTCCCTAGTTTTTCCTGGGACAAAAGAATCTTCTTGAAATGCTATAGTTTTGACTGTACTGAAGCCAGATTTGGGCTATAGAAGACAGTGGGTACTGAGGGAGAGTACTTAAACCAAAAGTATGATACTCTAGGATTCTGGGTTCATGAGGAGGTCATGACACATGACCATCGTCAAAGAATGGCTCAACATCACCTGTGTTTACATCAAAAGTCTTGGGTTCACCATCCAGCCCTGCCCCTAACTTTCCGGGGGCAGCCTTGTACAAATCACTATACCATTCTTATTCGTAGTTTTCTCATTTGTAAAATAAGAGGGCAAATATTTGCCTAGCAGACCCCCTAGAAAGATAGGCATTATGACAGTAGATGAAATGGTTTTCTCTATCCTGGCTTACGTTGGTTTAATCTCAGTGTTATTTAGAAATTTCTGGCTTAGCCCAATGATACACCATTATTCTTCCCAACATTGGGTATTAAAATAATTCCATGTCTCATTATATCCAGGATGTTTTGTACAAACACAGACGATATTGGCCATTAAGTGTCATAGACCAGCAGGTCGAGGCTGCGGTGGCCGGGAGCATGCTACTGCACTCCAGTCTGGGTAACAGAGCAAGACTCCAACTCAAAAAAAAAAGAGATATAGAATGTTGTAGAACTCCCAGTCCTGCTCCCTCACTTCTGAGGAGGGATGAAATCCCAGCTCCTGAGAGGTGAGATTATTTACCACAGATCACAGTTAGGAGATGGCAGCACCAAGATTAGAATCCAAGTGTCTGACTCCCAGTCCACTGCTTCTTCTTCTTCCAGAAGCTGCAACATGGCTTCCCATGATGGAACTCACCCTTAGTTTTCTTTGGCTCACATATTACTTTAACACAATGGGAGTTTGATTTGCTGGTTTGCCACAGTTCCAACATTCCCTTCTTCTTTGAGTCTTCCCTGCCTGAAGTCCTTAGGTGTGCTTATGAGCAAGCCTAATTGAGGTGAGTGGGATCAGCAGAGTGTGGGTGGGATGACATTACCCTTATTTCACCTCCTCATGAGTTTTTTCTTAGCATAAAGACTTCTTTACGTGAAGTCTTCCTGGTCAGTTTTCACCCTTTCACTCATGGACAACCAGCTGTAGTTACTTCCTACTTCTATGAGATCCCATAGTGCCTGTGATAGCTCCAAATGATTCCCAAACACTAAAAAGTTCATCACTTCTTAAGGATTAGTGGTAGAAAACTTGATAGGCTTTCCATTCTACTGTCTAATCTAATATGGCGAAGTCTACTGAGAGAATATGGAGGGTTGCTGAAGTGTACCATTAATATAACACCCTATCTCAGTTTACCCAGTGCTCAAATTCAGTAAAATAAAATACAAATACTGCCCAATTCTTAAGCATACTGCAAAGCTCCTGCTGTTTGTGTAAACATGCAGATGGAATTAGAATGGACACTTAATTTTCCATGTTTCTCAGGGCTATATTGAGTGGTTATGTCATTTAACTGCTGCTATTCTTGCTTTTAAAAAAAGGGTAAATCACTGTGCAAAGATTCCCCACATCTCTATACAGTGACATTTGCTGTTATTACACAATTTCCTTTCCAGTTTAAAGTGGAGTCAGTAGGTAAACCATGGGGAATACAGCGATCAGAAAGACTTGAACACATTGCTCTGTGGAGGAATGTCTTACTCGGTTCTATAATTACTTGTTATTTGTGTTATGTTGTCCCCTCCTTGATTTCCCTCTCCTTTGACTTCCCCAGCACAACTGTAGGTACACACACAAACTGTGTTAGATGAGAAAACCTGGTGGCAAGAGAGCAGAACTGTACAGAGTGGAGACAGGATGGCTCTTGGAAGGAAGAAGAGAGCAGGCAGAATACAGAGGCTGGTTGGTTTGAGAAGGTGTGAAGCAGGACTTTTCTAACCTTTAACTTTTCAAAGATATCTCTTAAAAAACAATCAAAGCATCATCTCTCTGTTAGCAGCCAGAGGACCTGGGGCCCTATGTCCTTGGATGGGAAACCTTGAGGCAGAGCATTTGGAGGGTAAGATACCTGGAAGGCAGGTAGGCAGGCTTCTCTCCAGTGCTTCGTTCATCCAGACTCCTTGGGCAGAACAGGCATATGTACCTGAGTGGGTGAAAGAAGGTTGGAGAAGAGGGAAAGGATCGTTGATTTAGAGAACATGGAAAGTAGGTCTGGGTCCTTAATTCCTCTACTCTGGGTCATTGGAGTAGTCTTCCAAATGGTCTCTCTGATGCCTTTCTCTCTGAGCCAGCCTCTCTGCAACCTGAAGAATCTTTCTAAACTGGAAGTCTGACTGTGTTCCTCCTCAGCTCAGAATTACCAGTGACTACCCATTGTCCTAAAAAATAAATACTGCACTCTTCAGCACAGTGTCAAGGCTCTGTGCAATCTGACTCCTGCCTGTCTAAGGGCTGCTCCCCTGCCTGCCCATGCTGCCCAGGCCCTTGTGGCCGCCTCCTTCTCACTAGTCACAAAGACCTGGGTCCACACCGTTCTCTGTGGCACACATGCCCTTTTCTTTCTTTTCTGATTACCACACTCTTTAATAAGCCACATTTGTGGCCACATCTCATTAGAGTCTTACAGTAGTTCTGAGAGCTCTCTATCACTCTTTCCTCTTTGATTAGTAAGAAGTTGGAGGCTTAGAGAAACCAAGAGAATGTTCTTAGTGCTTGCATGCCACAAAACAGGGTTGATGGGCCTGACCTTCTCCTGCGAGTTTATTCTCTGCCGGGAACGGTGAGTAGATGTGAGAGGGTGTCTGAGTGCCACAATGCAGGGAAAGGTGGGACATGTCTCTAAGTGTTTCTCCTCCCAAGGCAATGGACTGGGTTTTGCTGATTCTTTGCCCTTTGGCCTGTGTGCTGCTTCTCAACCCCTGGGGCTGCTAGGAGTTTCACTGCCAGTGGCATGGATGAGACTTGGAATGGGGACAGCTATGGTTGTGCTTAAGCCTTGGTCAGGTTATGCTGAGCTATCACATGAGGCAGAGGGTCTACTCCTCACTCCCCATCCTTCCTGGACCCTGAGCATATCAGGGGATCAGGTCTTTGAAGAAAGAACTCTTACCTGCTGAATGGGTCTAGTCTGGTCAGATGTTAAACTCAGCCAGGAGCCAAAACAGAGACCAGCTGGAGCAGCAACACTGGCCATTTTGTGAAAATCCCAGCCCAGCTTCAGGCAACTTGAAGGAGTTTATCTTGGAAGACCCCAACTTCGTTGAGGTTCTCATTTCTTCCCTTAGTTGTGTCAATGGATGACGCCTTCACAACTCCAGAGAGCAAGATTATAATCTATCTAAATGGTGCCCCTGGAACTGTGCAGTACACAACCTGGGCAGCTACCATTGGCCCCAATTTGGGGGTCACTCTTATCCATTATGGTAATAAACTGTGGTCAACTCACCTGGCCTGCTATCAATTTCAGAACAGAGGCAGGTCTGCTTAGACTTAAGCAGACTCCAGCAAGATCTACTCTCATTACTAAAATCAGTGCTAGATTTAAAGTTAAAAGCAGAAAATCTTGGATTTTGGACCCAAGGCTCAGTGTTTGCCTCTCCACATAGACACAACAACATGAGCTAACGGGAAATGAGAATCGAATGGGATGCGTGACAGGACATCTTTTGTGTTACAAGGCCCTTGGCACTTGTAAGCAATTATTCCTTTCAGAGCTGTTGCAGCCCCCACCCTCGCTTTGGGGTTCCAGAGAGTATGAGGTGGGGGTGGGGTGGTTTAACATGGAGGACCTACCCGTGATGTTGTGAAGCATCTTGTAATAGGGTTGCTGGCAGGAGTATCTGATCTCAGATTTGTACGTGGTGAGGTTGTTCCTTGTGGAGAAGGTGACCAGCCCGTGTTCCAGCTCTGCTGGGGCTCCACAGTCTACAACTGAGACAGAGGGTGTGAGATCCTTCAACTACCTTTCGCCATTCCTCTTTTGGCTATCTGATGGTACTGTCTCATACAGATGTGCAGGCTGTGCACTGCACACAACTCCAGAGAGCAAAATTACAGTCTATCTAAATGGTGCCTCTGGAATTGTGCAGTGTACAACCTGTGCAACTACCATTGGCCCTTTTACCATTTTATCATTTGGGGGTCACTCCCATCCCTTACAGTAATAAACTGTGGTCAACTTACCTGGCCTGCTATCAATTTCAGAACAGAGGCAGGTCTGCTTAGATTTAAGCAGACTCTAGTCTCTTGTCCACCATGGCCCCCTTTTTTTTACTTCTAGTTCTATTGTGCAATCCTGTCTGCCTTTTCTGTCCAAGCATGAAGCTCTTGGCTCAGTAAGAAAATTCTGACTGACATGAGCCAAAGAATATTCTATTCTTCCAAGTCCCAATCATAGGCTGAGTAAGAGCTGTTCCTGTGTTTACATTTGAGCTTGGCACATCAAAACAAAACCAACCAACCAAAGACACAGCTCCTGCATGAATATACAGCCCCTCCCTGCAAGATGGCTGTTCACTTGACCATGGAAGGCAGGAGGTGGGGCCAGGGATGGACCAGATTCTAGTCTTCACCTGCTTGTTTTCTCCAGTTGTTGGTGGCTGGATGTTGAGGCTGGCTGTAGTCCCAGTATATAGGACATGAGCAAAGATGCCCGCTCCTCAGAGATGGTCTTTGGGGGAGCTTGCCAGTCCAACCAGGTCTTAGGGGAGTTGCCAGCACTGATGGAGTCCAGCGCGAATCAGCCGAGAGTCAGGGCGTCTTTTCATGGCCACATCAGAGACTGAGGACCCAGTGTGTCACTGCCTCCTCTCGCCAGGTGATGCTCATTTCTAAAGAAATCCTAATCTTAGGCATAACAGCCTATACCAGAACCAAAGAATCATAAAGCAGTCATAGAATTTTACAGTTGGAAACAAACCTGAAGTAGGAAATCTAGAATATCTTCTTTATTTCACAGGTGAGCCCAGAGAAGAGACTTGATTAGTCTAAGGTCGCACAGCAAGTTATTGTCAGAGTAAGAACTAGATCTGACTTCAAACTCAGTGCTGTTTTAGTAAATGGAACTAACAACTCTTAAATATCTGTTTTCCAGTTAAATGACCCATACTAGATATTAGCTGTCTAATGGTAAACATCAATTGTCAGTATTTCTAAAGGCCTGGAAGAATTTCCAAAGTTCCACCTCCTTCCAAATTTCACCTGCTCATCTTGGGAAACAGTGAGGGGCAATTTACCCTTGAGGGCTATTCAGACATTGTGTTCTTAACCTTAGGACTCCAAACTCATCTTTTTGATTGACTAGAGAATTATCTAACTTAAAATACAGATAATTCTAAGACACTCCAGATTGGCGGAAAGAGATGAAAGGAGTAAATATAGGAACTTCTTACCCACAAAGAAGTCCAAGGCCAAGAAAATTAGTTTTGTCCTGGCCTCCAATTCCCCTGGACAAATCACCCCGTTTGTTTTGATCACCCAAAAGTAGAGACACTCTTTTACTTTGTGAAGTAAACATGTGAAGTTCAACACTAGGGTAAGAAAAGGCAATAATATTTATTATGTAAAACTATAAACAGTTTTGAATTCATTTTCCTGCTGATACTCAAAGCAGATTTTTCCTCTTTTTTTATTTTTAAGAAAAATATCATTGACTGGTGCCTGGATATTGGTATTACTAGTAGTTCGTTTTGCCTAAAGTGTCCTCAAGGTCTAACTCCCTAGTTTCTAGTGGAGAGGTTCCAGGGTTAGTCTTAGATATGGCCAGACAGCCAGGCAATTGAGAGTCTGTTAATGTGGCTGCTGCTGGCAGGGACATATTTTCTGAATGGAGGAATTGCTTTCACATCACACAAAGGAAGTAACTTTGACCACTGATAAGCTGGTCCTGCAGCCAGGTAGAGGGGGTGATCAACAGTGGAAAATAGAGGATCACATGGCTTAGTTATAGTGACTGGAGAGGGTGCACCTTCTTCCCAAGTCCACCATGGCAGGCAAAAAGTCATGTCGCTCTGAGACCAGGAGGCAGCTTCCCCTTACGAGGGGCCTTGGGTAGCTCTGCCTGGCACAGTCAGCACTTGCTAGACCATACTTCTTCAGCTAGTCTATTATCTTTGCTTTTGGAAGGGTTTCAACCTTTTCTCTAAAGTTTTCTCTGGCCACTCCACACCAGGAATCAAAATGCCCTTCTGTTTTGCCTTCCTTGACCTGCCTTTCTCACCATTCTTTGGGATGGGCTTTACCATCCCACATCCTGCCTTCACTGTCACCTCTTGCTAACTTTTATTTTCCTTCAGGCACACTTTTCTTGACCTGTGGTACTGAGTGTGCTTTGCCATATTAGGGGCTTCCTAGAGAACTACACACAGTCAGCTCACACTGGCACTTGGGTCCCGGGATTGGGCTCCAACCACTCTTCCCAGCTTCAGCTTCTTCCCTCCCCTTGAGGCACCCCTGCTCCAAATTACCAGCCCCTTCAGTATACCATGCTCTTTTCTGTTGACGCCTATTCCCAGGTCTTGCTTGTGCCAGCCCTGCTGCCTGGGCACCCTGTATCCATGCTCTGGCCGCCCTCAAGGCCTTGATTAAACACTACTTCTTGAAAGCATTTCTAATTCTCCTAGCTGGATAGGGCTGTGTCCTTGTCCCAGAACTCTTTATTCATGTCTCTTTGATGGAGTGTATCTTATGTTGCCTGGTATTGCAATTATTTGGGTACATATCAAATCTTCCTCTTAAATTATAATTTCCTCCATTGCACTAAGCATGCTGTCTGTTAATATTGTGTGAGCTTAAATATATTTATCCAACTGACACTTGTCTTTAGTAGCCAGTCCTTTTCTCTCAAGGGCATCTCTACCTGAGAATGGCACCTCAAGTCTGCAGACTGCTCAGAACTCTGCCCTCACTAAGAGGCCATTTAATCACCAAATAGATTGGTAGTCACAATTTAACACAAGGGTTCTCTGACATGTGTGTCCAGATGATGTTCAGGCTGAAGCTGAGATTCTGGCTGCCACTCCACAGTCCTTTCTCTATCATCTTGAGGACACAGTGATGCCACATGGCACCAGAGCACAGGACCACTGCTTTCAAGTGTGATACCTATCTTTTAAAAAATTTTAATCAGTTATTTTTAAGAAACACAGAACTTGTAAGCCCCAGAGAAAAGACCCTCTCATGATAGAATTCTACCCTGTGTTAGGTAGGGGTAGAAAGAATATTTTGTGAATGAGAAGCTGTCCATATTCTCAAAAATCGATGCATATGAGTTATTATTTGTTTTTCCTACTCATGAGGGTTAAGAAAGTAGCAACAATTTTTAAAATCATAAAGCCACAAATTCAGGCCCATTTAAATTTGAAGTGCAGAATGGATTAGAAAACAGGGCCCACTTTGAGACCACATGATTGTATGTTAAATCTTGTGTCTCCAGGACCAAAAGCATATGTCCCTTAGAGAAGAGTACAAGCCACTTAGAGGTGCTAAAAAAACCAAACAAACAATTTTTTTTCATTATTTTCTCGCATCATGTTTGAACAATGGGCAAACTCTCAAGTGCAGAGTTTGTTCTCACGCATGCAGCAGCTTCAGCTGTTAAGACCAAGTTGCCTCCTTCATTGCCCATTTTAATTCTCACTGGAAGGGACAATGGAGTGTTGGTGGGTGGGGAGGAGTGGAGCAGCTCTGGGACCCCAGGGTCTTGTAAGCGATCCATTCCTGGATGTCTGCACTGAGTGGGGTCCAGTCATTCACTCTGGCACTTGCTCTGACTTGAGTTCGCTCTCCAAATCGATTTCACTTTCTGCCACCATGGTGAAGATCAAAGACGGATCAAGAGACACAGAAGAAGGAAGCAGAGAGAGAAAGAGAGAGAGAGAGAGAGAGAGAGAGAGAGAGAGAGAGAGAGAGAGAGAATTAGCAAGCAAAGCAGAAACAGCTTATGCAGGAAATTCAGAAATCACTCCACCAGAATTGATTAAGAATGCATAGCTTAGGTATAGCCAGTGTGAAGAACAGTTTGGGATTGTGGAATTTGTGTCATTCTGAGAATTTGCACAGTCATACATCCTGGCTCATGAGTATTATAAGCTCTGCCCCGGAGGGAGCGTTGTATTTATCTGATCCAAACCCTCATTTGACAGATAGCATTCAGAGTTCAGCAGGACTTGTCCAGGGCACCACAGCAAGGAGGAGGCAGGACCAGAACAACGGCCCATAATTCCCACTTCTTTTTCCGGTGCACATTTCTTTACCACACATTGCATATCTCTCATCTGTTGCCAGCTCCTTACCCTACAATCCTGGGGACTTTCAGCTTTTCAGTCTTGTCTCTGTCTCTTTCCTAGGGCCTAGCACATTACCTGGCATAGAGAGATGCTCAATAAATACTGACTGAGCAAAGATGCTGGGTATGTCTATGTAGGAATTATAATAGCCCTAATCCAGTTTATTATGGGAGAATAGAGTGATATTTGGGAGAGAAAATATTCCCCTTTTCCTTAGTGCAAAATGACAGGGTGTTCTGTTGTGCAAGGGGGAACCCAAAGAAACTGGAATTATCTTTTGGAGGACCCCTTGTAGTGCGGGATTCCCCACTAAGTAAGTGTTCTAAAAACCCACTGGCATCAGTGTATCAGCTAGTGTTGTTGTGAGAGGCTGCGTTTGGCTTCAGTGAATTTTTTTTGGAGATACTTTCAACATGTTAGCCTATTTCATGATGGGTAATTTACGAGTGCATCTGCCCACACTGTGCTGAACATTCAGCAGTTTTTGTGAAAAACGGCATCACCTCTGTGTCCCCACTTCTTATTCACTTGGTCTCACTTCGAGCATCTTTTTTTGTTTGCTTCTCCAGATAAAAACGTCCTCAAAGGGAAATATTTTGCCAATGTGGAAGAGGTGTAACAAGAAATGGCATAAGCACTAAAAGGCATCAAAACTGATGAGTTCAAAAACCATTTTGAGCAGTGGAAAATGTATCTCAGGAGGCGTATTGCATCAAACGGAGAGTACTTTGAAGGTGACTGAAGTGTAAATATGTAAGAATGAATATACATTTTAAAATAAATAAACTCTGGGTTTTTTGGGGGGCCTCCCTTGTATACTAACATAAGTCAGGGATAAATGATCAATCCAGGAAAAAATTATTAACGCTTCCTATGTTCTAAAATTGTGAATGAGAAACTAAACCTGTTCCTAGTGAGGGGACTGGCTGGGGCAGAGGGAAAAATGCGTTTTTATTAAGCTTTTACACATATTCCTTGCTCTCCATGGGTATGGTATGCATATTAACACAGCTGGTCCTTATAACAATCTTGAAGGCAGGAAACTGACGCCACCAGAGTCTGAGTCAGTTGAGAAGGGACACTCAATTGGTAGAGTCTGCATTTGAATCCAGAACTTCCTGACTCCCAAGCTAGATTCTGTCCTGAATACCTCACATCCTCCTTAATCTTCTCTTTGAATACTTTTGCTTGGTCATGCAGAATACTTTGCTTAGAACTTAGTCATAGCACTACATCTGAGCCACGTGTTAGGGGAGGTGGTGCAATGTCTGCCAGCATTTGAGTTCCTTCATGTCTGAACCTTGTCATTTTCCTCTGAATTCCCTATAGAAACTCTGCACAGGCATCCAGGGAACATCTGTTGAAACTTTGTTGAAGCCATAAAATGTTCCCCTTTTCCCACACTGGACTCTGACTCCAACCAAATCATCATATGAAAAAGAAAAACTAAGAATTATCACATTCTGCTTCCAAGGTTTGCCTGGGATTTGCCTTAAGGGAACCCTACTGCCTGAGAGTATCTCCCTAGTGCATTTGTCTGCCTGCTGGATCAGAGTCATTCAGGAGAAAGAGAAGAGGACAGCACTCCAGTTTACACATAAAATCATAACATGAAGGTAGGTGGGACCAACCCTAATCCTTGACTTCTCACCCATCTATTATCAATAAAATCCTCCCCTTTCCCCACCTTCCTCCCTTTTCTGACTCTTTGTCACTCTGCCACCTCTCATCACTGTTGCCATAGATAAGTCTCTAAAATTGGGGTCCTTATGTATAAGTCTTGCACTGAAATCACCTGGGTGGGGGAAAATGCAGGAAAATGACAGGAAAATGACAGGAAAATGGCTGAAAGCTCATATTTTTACGAAGCTTAATGGATGATTTATATGGACTATATTATTTTAGAACTACTGGCATATATTCTAGAATATTAAAACTAGTTCCAAACTCTTTATTTTACAGTTGAGGTGAAGGATCTTGTCCATGGTCACAGAGTGGGTTAGGGGGAGAGCCAAGGTAAGTGCTCTGGGCCCCAGTGAAGAGCTGTGTCCTCTGCTTCACACAGCTCACTGTGCTGACCCCAGCCCTTTCTGCACAGCCTTAAATCATGAGCTGTCACAGAAGATGCAGTGGGTATGGCTGATGTCCATGTTGAAACTTGCAAGGCCACTTAGCTCTGGACACCAGAGCAAAACTTGTTTCCTGAATTAATAATTGTCAGAGCCAGTTTCAAATCTGGAGATATGCTATTCTTTTGGCAAGTTTGGCAACTCATCGGTGGGCTGAAGTAAAATCGGTATTTAGAAAGCAAACTGGGGCTCACATGAGGTTTCTTTTGGAATCCTAAAGTCCTGCAGCTGAGAGGGGATATTAATACTCTTTACTTCCAAACTGTGTGTGTCTGTTGAATGCCTCTCCTGCCACGCTTTCACCTGCTTGGTCTCTGCTTGGATCCCATCAGTGTGGGGACCTCATTATCCTTATAATTCATCCACTGGGCCTCCTTACTTTTACAGGTGGGAATCTTGTTACTCCATGTCCCATCCTTCAAACACTCGATCTGGAATGTGTCCATCTCCACATTATCCTGGAAAGAAACAGGAAGAAGGGAGTGGAAAGAAGGAGGAGGGGTTGGGGTCAGGGGTCGTTTCCCAGCAAAACCAACTCAAAGTTCCAAACCTGGCTATCCTTCACTGGGATTTTCTACCTATGGGCCTCCACGGGCAAGCTTGAAGATAGAAAGATAAATGCTGAATTCATATTCTCTGTTCATACTCTGGAGAGAAGCCGGGGCTGTGTGCAAGGAAGGGTTTAGGCCATTGCCTCTGAAGAGAAAAATATAACCTTGACTTCTTTTTCAGAACAAACTAGAGCAAGTGGTCAGCATCAGTTAGAGGGCTTGTTAAAACACAGACTGTTGGGCCTGTCCCCAGAGTTTCTGATTCAGTGGGTCTGGCCTACCCAAGAGTTTGCATTTCTAGCAATTTCCCAGGTGATGCTGAGCCTGTTAGTTCCAGGGCTTCTCTTTAGAACTATTCCTTGAGAGCAGTGGTCCTGTAGCTTGGCTGCACCATAGACTCACCTGGGTGTTCTCTTTTTAAGGAAAACCAATTGCTTGGTCCCAGCTCCAAAAATTTGGCTTTAATTGATCTCAAGTGAGACTTCAGAGGTGATATTTTTTTCAGAAAGCCTACCAAAATTCCTGGAAGAACCACTGCTTCAGAGGATAGGAGATTGAGGAGTACCCATCTGCCATCTTTAAAATACCTACTTTCTTTCCTGGTACCCTACCCACTCCAACCCATGAGCCTGATGAACTTTGTCATGGTTGTCAGTCCTGATTATAGAACTGGATGCATCTGACTTTTAAAAAACAGCTCACGTTCTGATTATAATAAACAAACAAACAAACAAACAGACTTCCAGAAGTGTGAGACAGTCTGGGACACCTGCTTTGGAATTTCTGGAGCATTTGGAATTTTTATGGGGCACACCTAGGAAATACTATGCTGGAACTATGACAAGCTCTGGCAGCCCATTTGCCCCAGGGTGGGGATGGAGGGGTGGAGGGGCTACAGAGTTTCTCTGGCTTGGTCACTCCCCGTTCCCAGTCAGAGTTCTGCACCTTCAGCACTTTGTAGCCTGTGTCACAGCTGACGAGCACTTGGTCTTTGAAGGAATACTTGGCTTGCAAGGGTTCGATTTTCCCATGAACAGGAGGCCGTAGCTCTGGGCACTCGTTTCCTGGTGGGGAGCAAATGAAAGAACAGAAGGTGAGAAAATGAGGAGAAATCTGGCAGTAAACGGCCAGTCCCTAGAAAGCCAGGCTTGACGGAGGTTGAAAAACATGGAACTGGGTATCTGAGGTCTGGACCTTTCAAACCTGGGAGGAGACTAACTCTGGAGCTGTGAGCAAGTCACTTTCCAACTTGGACCTCCATTTCCTTATTTTTAAAATGAAGTGTTTGGCCAGATTGTTTCATTAAAACTCAGGGCTGTAGCCTGGACAACTTGGCGAGAACAATACATAAAAAAAATTAGCTTGGCCTGTGAGTGCATGCCTGTAGTCCCAGCTACTTGGGTGGCTGAGGCGGAAGGATCACCTGAGCCCAGCAAGTTGAGGCTATGATGACTGTGAATGTGCCACTGCACTCCAGCCTGAGGGACAGAGACTCCAACTCAAAACAAAATAAAACACTCAAGGCTGGAAGGAATTTTAAATGTCATTGAATCCAATCCTTGCCCAACACTTCCTTTATAGTATCCTCCACAGTAGACACCAAATATATATTTGCATTCCCACCACGACAGGGAGCTCAATATCTCCCTAACTTATACCTTCCGGATGTGGACTTTGCTGATTATATGAACAATATTTTCCTATTTAGCTGACATTTGTGCCTTTGAAATTTTTACTCACGGGGCACAGTTTACTCTCTTGGGGGAAGGGCCAAATTGCTCTTTCTTTCCAAAACTCTTCTTCAAAGCATTAGAGAGACTGTCATATGCTTCTGAGTCCTCTCCTTAAAAGGCTAAGTCTGGCAGTGTCCTCAGGCCTGGGTCTCTCCCTGATACTATTTCCTTAACAAATTCTCCTTTGTTAATGTCCTCTCCATTCCTCTTCCCAGACTGGGAACCATATGTGATAATGCAGGCAACACCAGGGCTTCAGTCTGCAAACTGGGGTTAATCATGCTCAGCTATGGTCTTTTGTCACTGGTGTTCACTCTCTCCTCTTCCTTGAGTTATACAGACCAATTGCTACAGATAAGTTAGTAAGCGTTATCATTGACTAAATGATTTCATCTCCACTCTCTCATTTATAACTTGAAATGACCCTCGAAGTAGACAAGGCAGGTTAATAATCCTCTGCTTACAGATAAATGTATTGTGACTAAGAGAAAGGCATAGCTCTGTCTGGTGTGTGAAACTGAGAAGTTACTGCAGGTCAAATGGTTCTATCAAGGTTTGGGGCAGGACTAGCTGCCTTGAGGGACTGGGGAGTGAGAACCATAGACTTTGCCAGTCGGCCTACAGGGAGGCAAAGCACCATCACCATAGTAAAACATTCTCAGCTAAAGGCTCACAACAAAATTCCATCCCCAGAATTGGAGCTGGAAGGGTCCTCTCCAGGTCTAATGAATCACCTAATGAGGAGTGGAGTTCAGGAAACAATATTTCTTTTGATTTAATCTCTTCCATGTGATTCTGAAATGCAGCAAGTTTTGAAAACTTCCAGTCTGGTCCATCCAACATTATTGCTGCTCTTGCCCCTATTTTATAGATGGAACTGAGTAAGAAGAGGGCATATGTCCCGGTCCCAAGTTACTCAGCTGGGAGTCCCACCAGGTCCCTAGGTGAGTTCCAAGCCTGCCACCCTCCTCCCACTGCTGCTGGGAGGGCTGAGCACCATGGCGGGAGAGAGGTTACCTGCAGCCCTGTACGAGAGCCTCCAGCCCCGGTTCTCCCCCGAGTTGTCGCTTCGGAATAGGATCTGGACACTGTGGCTCTGGGTACTGATGGGTTCCGGGGCTTTCTCTCCACAAAAGGGCCCCAAAACTTTTGAACCGACTTTAATCTGCAAGAGGCGAGATAGAGAAAGAAGGGTTCACATCTGAGCGGCCGAAGTGGCCACTCTAGGCAAAATTCTATGCTGCACTCTGGGGTTTTCTGGAAACCTCAATATGAACCCATAGTATTCACTTCTGTTTTTACAGTCAGACCATTGACTAATGGTTTCATCTCTACTTTCTCATATATGATTTACAATAGCCCTCGGAAGGGACAAGACAAATTAATATTCATCTGCTTAAAGATGAACATATGGGCCAGGCACAGTGGCTCACGCCTATAATCCCCGCACTTTGGGAGACCAAGGTGAGAGGATTGCCTGAGCCCACAGGTTCGAGACCAACCTGGGCAACTTGGTGAGACCTCATCTCTACAATAAATCAAAAAATGAACTGGGCGTGCTTGTGCGTGCCTGTAGTTCCAGCTACATGGAAGCCTGAGGTGGAAGGACTGCCTGAGCCCAGCAGGTCAAGGCTGCCATGGCGTGAGCGTTCCACTGCACTCCAGCCTGGGTGACAGACTCCAACTCAAAAACAAAAAACAAAAAACAAAACAGATGAATGCACGTGGCTCAGAGAAAGGCAGGACTCTGTCTGGTGCACAAAATGGACAGGGTCTATGTTCTCAAAGAACCTGCAGTCTAATTGGGGAAGACTAACAATAAATAATAAATGAAAGAATTATAGGTTGTCATAAGGGTTATAAAAAATAATCAGGATGATATTCATCTAGAATAGAATATATATGCCATATATTTATAATTGGTATAGTAAAATCTATGCACCCTATGAAATTCATCATTTACATAATAGAGGATAATTTAATAGATAATAACTTTAATAAGTGATCAAGGAAGGTCTTTCTGAGGAGGTGACATTGGATCTGAGACATGCAGGATAAGTAGGAGCCTGTTTGAAGGGAAGAGAAAAGTACTTCCACTGAAGGAAAAAAGCATCTGTAAAGGTCAAGGTCAAACAAAGGTGGGAAAGAACTTGCCAAGTGTTAGGAACAAGCAGGAAGCCAGGGTGGTGGGCAGAGGTAGTGCCATGGACATGAGGCCAGAAAGCAAGGTCACATCGTGTGCAATAATTTGGGTTTAATTTCAAGTGAATCTTAATCTAGCTTTTATAACGATGCTATGACAGAATAGATTGTGTGGAGGCAGGGGTGAAAGCAAGAAAACCAGTTGGGAAGTTTTACAGTTGAGCAGGAGAGAAATGATGAGGTTTGGACTAAGATAGAGGCAGTGCAGAATAAAAGAAATCAATCGGCACTATTAGCTGATCCGAATTCCCCACCTCTCAGTCCTGGGCTCTTTTTATGCCTTAACCCTGTTTCCTTCCAACTCTGAGGTCCAGGATTCCTTAACCATCATTTGGTGACTTCTACAATCCTGAGTGATATTTTGGTCTTGTCACCATTATTGTGGAGAAGGGAAATAAATAAAGGCCCAAGAGGTTACGTGCCTGAGTGAGCTCTCTCATGTGTAGCTCCTGGGATACTATGAATGGCAAACAGAGTTTATGACAGTCCCCTTGACCTTCACCATTGGTGTTTTTCTGTGATTATGTTATGCTATGAAGCAAAAAGGAGTTTGCAGATGTATTAAAGTTATTTACCAGTTAACCTAAAGTTTGAGAGGTTACCTAAGTGGGGCCAACCCAATAACATGAGTCTGTTAAAAGCAGTGTTTTCTCCTGCTGGTTCCAGCAGCAGAAGGCAGGATGATTAGAAGTGTGAGAGGAATTTGATGCAAGGAACTATCTCTGTAGCTCTAAGGGGAGGGGCAACGTGAAAGAACCTGAGAGCCGCTTCTAGGTCTGAAATCGACCACTGGTCAACAGCCAGCAAGAAGATGGGGATTTCAGCCTTATATCTGCAGGGAAATGAATTCTGCCAACAACTCAAATGATCTTGGAAGTGGATTCTTTCCCAGAGCCTCCTGATAAGAGCTTCATCCAGCTGACTCCTTGATTTCAATCTTGTGAGACCCTAAGCAGAGAACCAAATTGAGCCCACTGGGACTTCTGACCTACAGGGCAGTGGAATAAGAAATGGGTGTTGTTTTAAGCTGTTATGTTAGTGGTGATTTGTTAACACAGTAATAGGAAACCCATGCCCTATGCATCCTCCTATCCCACCTGCAGCCAAATCTCTCAGTCTCTGTATCCAAGTGGAGACAGGTCAGACTCTAAGTTCTTGAGTTTCCTTTCAGAGACTCAGCATTCTCTGCCTCTCCCCACTTGACAGCTCCCTCCTTGGTAGCCTCATCTGGCTCTTTCCAACTTCTTCAGTGGGTTCTTCATCCTTTGTCTAGTACTCAGAATGTATTGTGCTTTGGCTCCTATCATTTTTTTTCTCTAGAACATCCCACCATTTCCATGGCTTAATTCAGCACCTATTTATATACTTGTTGGCACCCATCTTTATCTCCACTTTCATATCTCTTCTGAAATCAGACCCTACTATTCAGCTCCAGTTGGATGTTTTGGCTGATCATTCTCTAAGAATTGCTGATTTTACTTCCCATAGATCTCAAAAGTCCCTCTCTAATTATCCCAGACATGGCTCAAATTCAGGTTGCCTTTGCACCTCACCCATGCTATTGGAATAACCACAAATTGAGTGTTTATTTGCCTGTGGAAGTTCTTCCCCCTTTAATTGTCTTTCACATAACTTCTTCCTCCAAGCAGGATCAGCAGAATAATTTTTGAGGTCCAGTACAGAATAAAAATATGGGGTCCCTTGTTCAAAGCATATGTATAATTTCAAGATGGTGACAAGAGGACATTAAACCAAGCATGAGGCCCCGCTGAGCACAGGGCACTGTGTGATTGCATAAGATGCTCGCCCATGAAGCTGGGCCTGCCCTCAAGAGTTCACTCAAAAATATAGATGTGACCCTGTGACACTTCTCCTCAAACCACCCTAGTGACCAGGGAACTGGTTTTAAATTACAGAAGATCCCTAGACTGGGTCTGATTAAGACGGTAGATGTTATTTTAAATACTGACTTTTGGGGATGCTAGCTATGTGACCCTTTATCTAGGGAGAAGGCAAAGTTCGCAGAATATCCATTTCCCCAATTCAGTCAAGATTTTCCAGCATCCCCAGGACAAGTATCCATTGCAGGCTCACCTTGATGTAGTCATAGGGGCAGGACACCTCAGGATGGTCCTCAATGTCAAAAATGTCCTCAAACTGCAAGCTGACCATGAAACCCTCTTCCAGCTCTATGGTGTAGAAGCACTCTGAACTCTTGGGGTAAGGGTTTGGGAAGTCGGGGCTGGTGATCACTCCGGTCCTCTGGGTAAAGAGGTTGTCGCTGCACTCCACTGTTGGAAACATTGCGGAAAAAATTGACCACAACCATGGCCACAGCAAACCCTTGCTTGTCTGTTACTATATGACTTTCCCAGTGGCTTCATGTGGTAGGTAGGAAAGGAATCAGCATCCTCATTTCATAGATGGGGAAACTGAAGCTCAGTGAAGAAAAGTGTTTTATCCAAGGTCACACGTCTAGTGTTTTGCAAAGTCAGTTCTTAAATGCAAGCTTTCTAGTTCTCTGTGATGGACCCTTCTCATCAGATTCTCTGGTATTGGTCAGGGGCGGGAAGAGTGGTCTGAGATGGGAGGGTTTTTTGATGGAGTGGTCAGGAGGGTGTCTAAACCTCTTTGGTCCTGCCTTCCCTCCACTCAAGACTTCATTTAGGCCTCTGCTCATAGCTGTCCCTGATCCCTCACCTCCTACAAGCCCCTTCCTTACACACACCTCACTTTCAAGTCCCTGCCCTTGCTTTTTTCTTCATCGTGGTATTGCACTCTGTTACATTAAGTTTAGCCTAAAGCTACCTCCTTATGTATTTTAAGTTGTCTAAAGGTTTCTTCATACACAGTGAATTGTAACCTAGCTGGATGTGCAAATGGACTGTAACCTACTCTTGTACCAATTATTGCCTTTTGGCCGGCTACAGGTGGCCAACTGTTAAAACCATGTTCATGCCAGGCAAAAGCTAAACTGTGACCAATATGGCTGTTTCTACACCTCATTTTCATTTTCTGTACATCACTTTCCTTTTTCTGTCTGTAAATATTATCCTGCCATGTGACAGCCTCAGAGTCAATCTGAACTTATTCTGATGGGTAAGTGGGGGACTCAATTCTTGAATTGTTTTTTGTTCATTTAAACTCTATTAAATCTAATTTATTGCCTGGTGTGGTGGCTCAAGCCTGTAATCCCAGCACTTTGGGAGGTGGAGGCAAGAGGATTGCCTGAAACCAGGGGTTCAAGACCAGCCTGGACAACTCGGTGAGACCTTGTCTCTACAATAAATAAAAAAAATAAGCCAGTCGTGGTGGTGCATGCCTGTAGTTCTAGCTACTTGGAAGGCTGAGGCAGAAGGATCGTCTGAGTCCAGCAGGTTGAGGCTGTTGGGTGACAGAGTAAGACTCCAACTAAAAAAAAAATCTAATTTATCTAAAGATCTTCTTTTAATAACTCCCTGACATTATGTCACACATTTATTTGTTGATTTTCTTGCCCCTACAAGCCTGTAAGTTCCAAGAGCTTAGGAATTCGGCTTTGTTCCCCACTGCATTTACTGAAACCAAGAATCTACTGTCCTAGGATCCTGGACATGGCTTGCCCTGCCAAGGCATCTATCTTTATTTGCCGTTTTGGGAAGATCCATCCTAGATCTGGAATGTCAAGCTTTCAAAGCCCTTATTCATTCTGCTCATTTGCAAATGAGAAAACTGTGGCCTGGAAAAGGGGGTATGACTAACGTAAATTTCACAGCCCTGAGCTGCAGAACAAGGTTAAGATTAAAGTCTCTTGAGACCCCATCTGTTTTTATTTTCTACCCCAAGTATTCTCATGAGGTTGATTTCACCCTAAGGGGGCTAAAAATTCCTCCGTGGTGAGGAAGGTCTTACATTTTATGCATGATACACAGATAGATATACAGTACATAAACACACACACACATATATACACAGTAGGGAAACATATAAATATGTATCTTTCAGACACATATCTATATATCTGTAGTATTAAAATTTCACGGAGGAGGGAAAACCATTAAGGAAATAATGCTTAAAAAGGCTTCTGGGGAAAAGGTTAAAATGGAAAAAGTAATTGAGAAAATTTGCTCTACCCTAAGCATTCTTAGCCCCTCCAAACTCAGCATATAGTAGATACTCAGTAAAAACATAAACGAACAAAAAAATATAAAGTATAACCCTTGCAAGAAAACTCCTGTATGTGTCTATTCTTTTGGTTTTATATTGCTTTACACTGATGAGTTATATAGGGGTTTAGTCAGAAGCAACAGCAGTTTTTGAAGAAGGAAGAAAAAGAACTCTTGTCTCAGACTTGCCCTCCAATGATCCCTCACTCAGCTTCCAAGTGAGATCACAAGCACAGGCCGTCACCCTGGATCACACTAACCCACTGGCACTTCCCCAAACATTCCAAGTTCAATCATAGCTCTGAGTATTTGCAGAAGCTGTTTTCTGCCTGGAATGCACTCCTTCCCCTTATTCTTTCATCTTTGTTGAGGATCATCATCTCTCTGGGAAGCATTTGCCTACTTCTCCAGGCCTATTCAGGTAAGACTGTGCAGTGTCCATGCTTCCATTACATACATGCAAATGTAGCATTCACTACGCGTCACCACTTGCATATGTGGCTATTACCCTGCTAGCCCAAAAACTACTCCTGGAAGGTGGCTTAACCTTTCCATTTCTCCCCTAGCCCAAGACTAGCCCTCCATTCCTCTCCTAATTGATGAGAGATGAAAACAAAGAGAAAGATTGGGAAGGTTTCTTGCTGTCTCTGTCTTTGCCTCTCTTCACTCTCTTCTTTCCTTCGAACTGAGGTCTCGTGATTGTAGAGAAACTTAGGGGCCATGGAGAAGAAAAAGGAACTGTTGGGCTAGGCATAGTTCATGCCTCAGAGAGAAAGGACTGGGAAACCCAGGCTTCCCCCTAACTTAGCCAGGACGATTATGTATAATAGGAAAGAAGACAGGAACCTGTACAGCAGAAATGCTGCCTGGGAATAAAGATGACCTAGTATCCTAGAACCTCTGTCATGTGGTCCTTTGAGAACCTGAGTCCAAGATACCAGACTGGATGGGTATTTCTGCATCTTCACCCATGTGGAATCTGAGGTGCATCTCTGATTTCATTCTTTTATTGTTCCTACCACATATTTGTCTTTCCTCCGAGCCTACTCTCACAGGAGATGTGGTATATAGCAGCAGTGTAGAGAATCATCCCTAGGCCCTACCTCGGCAGGTCCTGTTGTCTGTGTGGAGGATGTAGCCAAAGCGGCAGGAACAGTAGTAGCCGCCGATGTAGTTGTGGCAGTAGTGGTCACAGGACAGCTCCTCATCTTCCCTCTCCTTGCACTCGTCCACATCTGCAGGGCAGGTAGAGCCTTTCCATCAATACATGCATGATGATGAAGACACAGCTAACACTTGTAGAATAGTTCATTGCGGTAGCAATTATCTTCATTTTAGGAATGAGGAAATTGGAACTCAGAGAAGTTAAGCAACTTACCCAAGGTCACAGACAGCCAGGTTCAAACCCAGGCAATGTGACTGTTGGTGGGACCACTACCCTCTAACAATTGTGATAATAACTGTGTGTCAGGCAACAACCTTAGATTCAACTTTTTACTACATATTCTTTTGCTATTTGCGTTCTACAGATGGTGAAATGGAGACATAGAGGCATTAAAGAACTTAAAGTTACACAGCTAGCAAGTGGCAGATCCAGGATTTAAATCCAGGTGGGCTAGCTACAGAGCTTGTGTGCTTGACTTCTACCCCATGTTGCCTCTTTCTTTTTTTCTAAGCCCCTAATGTGAGTCAAGCCCTGTCCTAGGTATTGGAATGTACCGTTCTTCAAAAGACACATATGATTGACCAACAAGCACATGAAAAGATGCTCAACACTGCTAGACATCAGGGGAATGCAATTTAAACCATATGAGGTATCACTACACACCCATGAGAATGGTTAAAATTTTTTTTTTGTGAGAAAGCAGAATTTATTGAGAGGACAGAAAACCTCCCACAGCAGGAGAGGACCCAGGGTTTGCCCTAAAATTTTTAAAAATTGACAACAGTTAATGTTGGCAAGGCATTGGAGCATGCAGAACTTTCATACTTTGGTAGACAGGTACAAAAGGTGCGATTGCTTTGGAAAAGGCCTGGAAATTTCTTATAAAACAAAGCACATACCTATACTATGGCCCAGAAATTCTACTCCTATATATGTAGCCAGTAGAAATGAAAGCCTATGCTCACAAAATGACTTGTACAAGAAGTTCGCAGAGACTTTATTAACAAGAGCAAGAAAAATGGGTAGATCCCAGGTGACCATCAATAGGAGAATAAATAAGCAAACTGTAGTATATTAATATAACAGAAAATTACTCTGCCAGGAAAAAGAGCAAATTACTGATGCATGCAACATGTGGATGCATCTCAAAAATGTTATGCTGAGTAAAAGGATCCTCACCCCCAAAAGATATTCTCTGTCTATTCATTTATATGAAGTTTTAGAAGGACAAAAACTGTAGCAGAAAAAAGTTAGAAGAGCTTTTTTCCTGTAAATGAGGTGGAAGCAGGGATTGACTGGGCAGGAGCATGAGGGAATTTTCTGGGCTGATGGTAAAGTTCAATGTCTTGTTAGAGGTTTGGGCTACAAACAAATATAAATTTTTCAAAATTCAACAAATGTATACTTAAGATTTTGCATTTTGTTGTCTATGAATTAAGAAAAAAGACATCTGAACAGATATTGAACTCCAGCAAAATTATATGCAGGCTGAAGTATTTAGGAGGAAGTATACTGATGTCTGCAATTTACTTTGAAGCAGATGAAAAATGATGAATTGCTGAGTAGATAGATGGATCAACATGTGATAGAGCAAATGCTGTAAGACATTAATGGCAGAATCCATGTGGTGAGTTTACAGGTATTCATTGTAAAGGAGAGGGCACGAGATGGTTTTCATCTTTGGAGAGAAAGGGAGACCTGAGTATGAGCCACCCAGTTCTCCAACTTACCCACAGCCATGTAGTGGGCATCAAAGCCCGTGAATCGCTCCTCATTGGAGAAATCTGACCGGAAAGTGATGGACATGAAGGAGCCAGGAGAGAGGACCACCTCCTGGCCAGGGGTCTGTTCTGTGTCTGTGGTCTCCCTGCCACAGAAGGTTGCCAGCACCTGGTCTTCAGTTTCTACCTTAAAGGTTAAAGAGAGAGGGATCAAGATGAGCAGTTTCTCATTTTAGCTTCTCTCCTTATCTTTAGGAAGAAAGCGGAAGGGGCCGTCCAAGAGTAGACTAGACAGCCTGGGAAACCCCAGAGAAAGGGATTAGAGATTCTGAGATTTGAGAAAAGATACATTTACAGGTTAAGTCAACGTGGCCATCTGATCAGTTTCATTCATTTAATTTAGTTCCATTAAGAGTAGCTTGATATGCGTTGTTCCTGTTGACAACCGAGTGGCTTATTTACTAAAAGTAACTCAATGTTAAAAGTTTTAAAAGTTAGATAACCTTGCAGATGGATTCTATGTACAATAGAAACTCACCACATTTTCAAAGAAATGAAACATTATACCCAATAAGTCATTTATTGAGTATCCAGTGTATGCCTGCCACTGAACAAAGCATGAAAGGGGATGACAAGTGATGAGTATGACACAGTGCTGTGCACAGGACAGTGGTGTTGAGACAGATGAAAAAAGACAGAGACTGAGCTATTAAATATGTGACAAGTGCCTTAATAGAAGCAGAGGCACTGCCTAGGTACCCAGAAGAAGGTGAAAGATCCCCAGGGGAACATAAGCTACAGAAAGACCAGAATTTATTTTTCTTTACAGATGTGTCTTCAGTGCATAGAACAGGACCTGGCACAAAGCAGTTATTCAATAAATATTTGTTGACAAGAACTAAAAGTGCAAGACACATTTGGAGAACACTGAGCAGCCAGAGAGTCTGTGGGGATTCAGGAGGAGATGTACTTGGAAGGATACATGGAAAGTAGATTATGGTTGACCTTGAATGCCATTAACACTGTGAGTAAATGGAAAACATAGAAAACTTTTAAACAGAAAAGTCATGCAATCACAACTATATTTAGTAGATAATCTTAATAATATAGAAACACATCCAGAAATAGTCTGCATGTGTTTGTATCTGTGTGTGTGCATTTTTGTGTTAAGACTTAGATGTAAAAAAAAAAAAAGCCTGTTTGCAAAAATAATTCCCTACTTTGAAAGAGCCAGAGGCCCTGTGCAAATTCAGAGACCAAAGCAGAGATCCTAAGCTGGTCACCTGAAAGTGATTTTATGTGAGTGTGGCTTGAAAAGGTTGGTATGGAATGTTTATTTGGCTACAAATACTCGACCTTCACACTACTCTATCATCTTGTACCTAACCCAATTCTTTTAAGCCTATATTTGTGTTTACAGCCTCTGGACTGATGTTTTAGTCAAGATACATGAGAAAATCTCTTACCAAGAATGATTTCTGCTGCCTTTCAAAGTCATTAAAGGAAAGTTTTCAAAGGCTGCCTATCTCTAGTAGCTCTAGTAATGAATCGTTGTTTTGTTCATTAGTTTAGCATGTCAGAAGTATCTTGACATTTGACACTTCTGTTTTGAGACTAATGGTTTATTTATTTAAAATAAGTGAGAGTTTTAAAGAAAAACAATTCGCCCTGGCAACAAAACACAAGGACAATTAATCACTAACTTTGGGAATTGAAGTGTAAACAGAAGATGAGATCATGGCTTTGCTATTTATTCCTCTTCTCTGCAGATACCAGCTGAACTTGCACCAGCCCTATTGCTGTTGAATGTGCCTATCTGCACACAGCCGAAATGTCACTTCCTTGAACATCCCAGCTGTTGTGTTATTTTGGTTGACTGAGTTTTCTAGATAGCTGAAGGTTTACCTAACTATAACTGTAAAACTATTTTTTTGGTGTAATGCTTTTTCTTTTCTTTTCTTTCTTTCTTTCTTTCTTTTAGAAAGTGCTTTAAACAAGTTCTTATTTTCTTAAGTGAAACATGCTAATAACCCTTTCTTGGTGATTCAGGGACATTGTTATAAATGTTAACCATTGTGATACTACATTAAGGTTGATAATCTTGGGGAAACTGAGTTGTATAATGTTGCTTGCCTTGCATCGAACATTTTCAGACTATAAATACCTTGACATTTTTATGTCTTCTTTTAGTAGTGTTTTATTTCTTGTCTTTTAATCAGCCTAACTGTACTTTTCTGTTTGCTTATTTTTAATATGTTGTAAATTAGAAACCAGTTAAACTGTTTTTGTTGGAACTTAATAAAAAGAAGACTAAGTAGATTTAGGGTGAGGGCCTGGGAAAGAGATTCTTCTGAGAGTAGCTGCATGACCTAGAGTGCACTATCTTGGTGACCTCTGCTTTAGAAGAATGTAAGATGTATGAACCTGGCAGTGGGAGGTCCTGGGTCTTATTCCTGACTCTACCATAAACTGTTATATGGCCATCCCTTTTCTAGCTCTCAGTTTTTCACCTATAAACAGGGTTTTGGACTAGCTGAAATAGTAGTCATCATAGTCTAACATAGTTCTAACAAGTCACATAGTCATGCTACATGACTAGAAGATGGTAAGCAGGAGTTTTAACACAAATGTTGCCTGCTGATGAACTTGGACTTGTTTGTGGTTTATAACTATGTAATACAAAATCAGTAACTAATGAATAGTCATGCCTTGAGCATTAACCGTTCCAGCCACATAGTCTCTTTACTGTAACTTGGCATCTTGGATTTTATAGCAACCGGACATGGACACTTTCAAGTGAACCCAATGATCATTTGGATTAGAGAGATACTACTGATTGTCTGTAATAAATAAACTTCCTCCTTATAACTTCTGGGCTTAAAGACCTTTCCATAATGGCAGATAATCAATCATCACCTGCAGAGCCTCACTATTCCAGAGAACAGGTAAGCATGCCCCAGATGAGACCCATGGGAAAATCTGAGCTATATATCACTTTTAGAAGCAGAGAAGGCCAGTAGCTTGGGGCCCTGGGAATTCAGCTGCAGCCCAGAATAGCCTTGGAATATCAGAGCAGAAAGAGAACTTTAAGAGCTATTTCAATCTCCCTTCTTGTAGAGGAAATGAAGGTCAAGAGAGGGGAAAGGACTTACCCCAAGGGTAGAGAGATAGCGTGAGCATTTTCTGATAGTGATTTTACTTTTGGAACTGTTCTGAGACTGGAAAAAGAGCACACCAACCTAGAGAGTATATGACAAAAGACACAGGCACTTGGCCAAACAATTTTTCTGTCTCAGAGGTCTCTTGAAACCTAATCTCGGGTGTATGGACTGTCTCTTGGAGAGGATGTGGCTCAGTGACAGCTCCAGCCACAATCTAAACAGAGGAGTCAATGACTCTGGCTAATATTTGCATATCCTGCTATGGAGTATAAAGTTCTACAAAGATCATTTACTTCTCATAGGAGGATTGAGTCCTAGCTTCTATTTGAACTGCCCCATATTTGGGGTCATCAAATCAACATAATGGAGGAATCTTATCAAGTGAAGACAAAAAATTCATAATAATAGAGACCCATGTGGCTAGGAATCACAGACTCCTCATTTTTCTATTTCGTATTGTGGACTACCAGGTCCTTACAGACTATTGTTATTTAAGTCACCAATATGTGGCTGCATGTCCTCAATTTATTTTCTTTCAACTAAATTCAACAAATATTTATGTACCATTTCTGTTTAGACTGTAATGTGAAGGATTCCAAAAATTATTTATTTGTTGTTTGAGCTTAATAAGCAAGTCCTCCACCTCTGATGATGTAACCTTAATAGGAGAATAAGATAAGTACTCAAATGTGTATGTGTTAGAGTATGGTCAGGGTATGGTAACTGCAATGAAATATGGGCAGCCCCAGAAGTTTAAAGAAGGGAAAAAATTGCATCCAGCTGAGGGAAATCAGAAAACATTTAAGAAGAAAAGAACGGTAACTTTTTTTTTTTTTTTTTTTGAGTTGGAGTCTCACTCTGTCGCCCAGACTGGAGTGAAGTGGCCGCTCCCGGCCACCGCAGCCTCGACCTGCTGGGCTCCGGCGATCCTTCCGCCTCAGCCTTCCGAATAGCTGGAATTACAGGCATGCGCTACCACGCCCGGCTGATTTTTTTTGATTTATTGTAGAAATGAAGTCTCGCTGCCCAGGCGGGTCCTGCGGGCTCAGGCAATCCACTCACCTCAGCCTCCCAAAGGCGTGGGATTACGGGCTGAGCCACCGAGCCCGGGTAGAACGGCAACATTTAAACTGAGTACTACTCACCTTTCAGAACGGCAACCTTTAAGCTGAGTACTGAAAGGTGAGTAGGATTTAGGCAGGTGGAGATAGTGGATGGGGGTTGGGGGTTATGGGAGGAGCATCTAGGCAGAGGTAATAGTGAAGACCTGAGGTATTCAGTGTCAACCTGCTCCACCATCTCCCCCTCAATCACGTGTTGGAAAGGGACTTTGCTGAGGATAGGAAGCCGGAAGGCAGATCTAAGGAGATTATAGATTCTTTGTTTTCCGTGAATTTTCTACATCAGCAGAAATAGCACAAACTTCCCAGGCAAAACTAAGGCAGGGCAGTAGGAAGTTGGCAAATTTCTGTAGAAGGACAGTTACAACTGTTCTCTACGTGTTGGTAGATTCATCACATCAGCTTAACGCATGTATTGACAGTCACCAATTGGCTCCTCAAAGCAATGTATGACGAAAGCAGCTCTGGAGGGATTGTTCTCACTTATAGATGATAAAATTGATGCTAAGATATTTCAATGAATGGGGCAGGTAAGTGGTCAAGCTAGTGAGCAGTGAATGAATCCAATGGTAAATAAATCTAGTGAATGGCGGATCCATGTACACAAATGCAGCATCCTGATTTCCTAGCCAGTGTTCCTTTAAGACATTAGGCAAGCAAACAAAGGTTGTCTTTGTTTTGTTTTTGAGTCAGGGTCTCACTCTGTTGCCTAGGCTTGAGTGCAGTGGCATAATCATGGCTCATTACAGCCTTGACCTTTTGGGCTCAAGGAATCCTTCTGCCTTAGCCTCCCGAGTAGCTGGGACTACAGGTGTGTATCATCATGCCTGGCAAGTTTAAAAAACAATTTTTTTTTTGTATAGATGAGGTCTCACCATGTTGTCTTGAACTACTGGGCTCAAGTG